AAAAAGGTAAAAAGTACAAATGGTTGACTTGCCTAGCTTTCACTAGTAGGTGCCATCACGACTTCCGAGGGTGAGAAATCCGGGTCGTGACACTTGATCCTCCCGAATAGTCAAAGCTCACTATCGACGACCGCTACCTCCAGCACCCAGATCTGCACAAAATGTGCAGAAGTGTAGTATAAGTAAGGGATAACACGTACTTCTTAAGTATCAAGACTAACCTCCGTGAAGTAGTAACAAGGTTCAAGTCATGTGATACTCACTAATCAGAGAACATGTGCAACATCTCAAATAACTAGAAACAAGAATATAATGAGATGTAGTACCTGTTCGACAAAAAAATTTTAAACCTTTTTTGTTAAACCAATTTAATGAATAGACAAAGGGTGAATCCAAGTTAAAAGTAATAAATCCATGATCTGAAGTTCAACAACCCGGACGGTAGGGGACTGTGTTCTAGTCAACGTATGCCAAGTTAATACTCAATGATTGTTAATAAACATAAGAATGAAAACATGCAATAAATGTGACAGGCATTAAATGTAATAGGAAGGAATTTGCCACCCAAATGTTAGATGAGATGGATGATTCCTTCTTCTGACTATAGCGTGTGACAACAAACAATGGGAATGAACAAAGTGTTCTTGAATCTTGTGAATAAGAGAGGAATGTTTTGTAATGGAATCCAACAGAGAAGACAAGACAAGCTTTTTGTATATTATTGATGGTCAACTCTTTACAAGATGTTCTTTTCTAAAAGTCCCGGATCCCCCCTTTGTCCCCTCTCTTCTCTTATTTATAAGGGATATTCCTAGAAAACCCTAGAAAGTACAATCGGGGGAATAATCGATGGAATATTCCTATTCATAATCCTAGGAATATTCTAGCCGTTGCTGCTGTTTATTCTCTACTCGACCATGACACCCGTCTCTCTCTCTCTAGGCGACTTTTCGCCACTGGACCGTGCTTGGTTTCGAACCCCGCCTCCGCTCGTCCGTTTGCATTCACTAAGCTCGACCTAATTTTGACCCATACAGTACCATCAACACAACGAAACAAGAGTTATCAACTCATCACGGGTAAATCATGTTTGACAAAGGAATTATTAGTCAATAAAAAGGCATAGAGTAGCATGTTAAAAGCAACGTGAAATCATGTAATTGCATAACAGAGCATGAAGAATTCACTTGTTAATCAGGAAAACCACCCTTATACTCCATATTTTATCAACAAGAATGCCACCCTTATACTCCATATATCATCACAACAAGAATGCCACCCCTTATACTCTACATATCATCAACAAGAATTCCATCCTTATACTCCCCATGTAAACAACAAAAAGAATGCCACCCTTATACTCCACATATCATCGATATGGATGCCACCCTTATACTCCATATATCATCAATATGAATACCATCCTTAATCCCACACATTGTTACAATAACAATATTCGCTCCAACATGTCCACATGTGCTATAAACATAACAATTCAAGATAATATTGTATCATCAAGATACATATTCTCATAATTCATCAATAAAGTGCATGAGGACATGATAATAATAGAGTGCGGATGTTGCTCAAGATATAGGACATGACTACGACTAAATCAATTTAACAATAATTCCACAAATTTCCATATTGGCTAATTAGGATGTAGTAATCTTAAAACATGATCTCTAGTATGAAAGGATAAGCTCGTATAGTCATACAAAGAATTACATTGTATCATATAGAGCACACAATTAAATCAAGGCGTAGTAAAAGTTTAGAGTCTAATCCGGTCATTTTTCATACATAGCACCCGCATATACGATCATCACCTCGCATACACATTGCATCACATACATTACAATTATACAAATAAGGTCCACGCCTAAGGTTTATTCCTTTACACAAGATTAGGCAAGATATTTATCTCAAACGGGCAAAATCAACCCTCCAAAATTGCATTTCCTTTAGAAACCACCCTCGATCGGCTCGAAACTAGTAAAAAACAACTCAAGAACATCAAACAAAGTCATAGGAAACAACCTCAAACAATAAAACTTAGATCTTTAATCAAATCCTCAAAAGTCGACACGGGCTCACACGATCGAAACCCCAGTCAAGGGGTAGATCCCGGCTACCCATAACCCTACGAGTCCAAAAATATGATTAGGTTCCAAAATCGAGTCCAAATCGACTCCAAAATTCTTAATTTTTACTCTCTTAAAATGTAGACAAAAATCCCAAATTTCCTCTTTCAAAACCCACAATCTATGTGTAATCATCCATGGAAAAATACGATACAATATCAAAATCAATTAGAAATCACTTACCCTCAAAGTGGCGATGAAATTCTCCCCAAAAATCGCCTCTAACAGCTCCAAAACTCAAAATAATGAAAAGAAAGCTAAATCCTCGAATTATAACACTGCCCAGCGATTTTTGCATTTGCATACAATTATGTCGCTTCTGCAACCCTGCTTCTTCAGTAGAAATATCGCATCTGCAGGTCCACTTAAACTCCCGCACTAATGCATATGCGGAGCTCAACTCCACTTCAGCGGTCACGTTGATGCGACACACCTCCACTTCTGCGCTAGTCCCCAAGTCTGCCTGCCTTTGCTTCTGCAAACTAAACTCCGCATCTGCGGCCTTGCAGATGCACCAACACTTCGCATTTGCAGATCCTCCATCCTTCAGCCATACTCGCATCTGCGATCACTTGTCCGCTTCTGTGGACTCGCACCTGGGCACAAAACCTCGCAGGTGCGACACACCAGCACCAGAACTGCCAAGCAACATGAAATTTATCTGAAACTTACTCGAAACACACTCGAGCCCTCTGGAACCCCGTCCAATCGTACCTACAAGGCCTAATACCTTCCCCAAATCTATCTAAAGGATCAAAACACCGTAATTAACATCTAAACTAAGAATCGTCGTTCAAGATCAATCTCTTAAGTTCATAAACTTTCAGTTCCAAACCAAGTGTCCGATTCAAGCCTAATCAATCCGGATTTTAACTAAACTTTGCAAAGAAGTCCCAAATGACAAAACAAACCTATTCAAAGTCTTAAAACCACAATCCGAACACGATATCATCAAAGTCAACTCCCGGTCAAACTTGTGAATTTTCTTCTGACTTCCGACAATGAGAGCCAAAACATCCTAGGACCTCCAAATCCAAATCAAGACATAAGCCTAAGTCCATAATTACCATGCAAACCTATTGGAACCATCAAAATACGAATTTGAGGTCTTCTACAAAAAAATCAAACATTCTTCAACTCTTACAACTTAAACTTCCAATATGAGATTAAGTGTCTCAATTCACTCCAAAACCTTTCCGAAATCAACCCAACCATCCCCGCAAATTACCAAACATCAAATACTCATACGGGGAAAATCAAATAGGGAAACGGGCTAAAATACACAAAATGACCGGCCGAATCGTTACATTAACATGCTAGTTTAACATTATGAATTTCATGTACTTGTGTTATATGGTAGAACTGCATAGTCATACACTATATCCTTATGTGCACCATGCTAGCATATAGATCTAGTTCCCGGCATTCATCTAAAAGTGTTTTGGCTTATGAATTCATGTTTCATTAGGCGTGTGGATTCAAGTTCTTGTATTGAGATATTTATTCGGGGCGTATGGACTTACATTCCGACTGCATGTGGATATGGATTTGTTCCTCTAGAGTCACTGAACATTGAAATCTCACCAACAGTGTGCACGCAAGGTTGTGGACACATGGATTTGTGTCGGAATATGTCAGTTTTGGTATAAAGGTTGAGTCTTTATCATGATAGCATTCTAGACTCATGTAGAATCTATTAAGATATTGTCCATGACTCCTAAGACCTAGGAACCTTGCTTTGATACTACTTTATCACGACCCAAATCCCAAAAGGTTGTGATGGCACCTAACCCAACCTTCTAGACGAACAAACCATCACTAAGTATAACCCACATCAAAAAATAACCATATTAATAAGAAGCAAAAATGCGAAATTTCAACAACTATCAAAGAACTGGTGTCACAAGTCATGAGCAACTAAATATAGAAATACAACATTGATATGAGAAAATACATCATTTGTTGGAATATACATTAACAGAAATATAAGATCCTAGGCTACCATGAACAAATGACAGCTAATAACTGAAATACTGATGTCTTTAATGCTCGCTCTCGAACTCGCATACCACGAACCACATATACTCAGTAAGTATCAAGACTAACCTCAATGAAGTAGTGGCGAGGTTTTAGTCACAAAAATACTCACTTTATATAACTTGTGCAATTCAAAAGCATATACAATAACAAAGAAATATGCAAGAAATAGCAGATATCAATAATAATAGGAAAGTGTTTTCCTTCTTTCATTCACTCTTTGTCTTGTCGGCGTAGAATAGGATTTAGGCATCCTTGTCTTTCCTACGCGTTGGTCAGAGCAAGAGGTTTTTATTTGTAGAGTTCAAGATAATATTTACAGTGTTTATGCAGTTTATTTCATTGTACAGACCTTTCTATAACAGCATCCCTATATAATAACACTTTGCTATAAAAGCCAAGCTTTTCCGGAACCAATTTTCATGTTATGTTATAATATATAATTTATATAACAGCACTTTGCTATAACATCCAAAAATATTCGGAACAAATAAGGCTGTTATAGAGAGGTTTGACTGTATAAAATATAGGGGAATGTTTTGATTCTAAATATATTAAGGTAGGATGTTGACATTCCAAAATATCATGACCTTGCTTATCTTTAGAAGTGATGCATAGTAAGGAGTGTAGTTGTACATGTTATGAATCCAGTGAGATATCATTGTTATAACCTGCACAGGAGTGTAGTAACCATGCTACAATACTGTCCCCCCGCCCCCTCAGCAGTCCAAACTTTTGTTAACAACATATACTAACAAATACAGCCAATTAAATTTGATATTTACTATAGTATATTACTGTAGTAATAATTCATAGGAATGATAGAAAACTACAAACTTAATCAGCAATACAGACCAATTGTGCACATCAAACCTATAACAAATTATACATGCACTTGTAGATGTATAGAATTAGTTACAGTCAGATTACCGAATGGAGTGAGAACAATACTACTTTTTACAATAATTTCTACCTTCGTGAGCTAGTTGTAAGTGCTTCACTCTCAAGTGTATCTACCCATTCTTGAATGATAGAGTTGACTTCCTCTGGTTTCTCATCATGTGGGCAATGGCCTGAAATATCAAATGGTGCAACATGAGAAAATATAAACAGATTTATTGCAGGTACTAACAAGGAAATAGAAAATCAAAGCTGCCATGAAATACCAGCATCTAACTCTCTGATTATGATTCCTTCACAGTGTTCTCTCAGCATATCTAACCTTGATTTTGAATCAGAAATTGGATCTTTCATTCCCTAACAGAAAAGCAGCACGATAAGCAATATAACTAGTGAAATGATGAAGATTCGTGCCAATAGAATATATTAATGTATTACCTGTAATACAAGAACTCTCTTCTCAAATCCTTGCAAAAGATAATTAAGAGGGACAGAAAGATCAAAGCTGAAAATGCTTTCTAGGACCACCACTACACCAGGGTCATAAGACTGAAGATTTTGTCAAGGCAGTGCTGCATCATTAAATTTGTGATATGGTAATTTATTCACACTGCAATAGTTGAAGCATTTTTAAAGATTGACAGGAAGGCTTTGAACCACTGACAAGGACCAGATATATACTTGAGCTGTCACAACTTAAAGATCAAAGGAATGTAATGGCAAGGATACTGCTCGCAGCATCTCCTGGATAAGCCACTCATCTGCACGATCACTTCTCTGCAGAAAACAAAAGCTGAGGCTAACCACTGTATAAAAGGCAACAAAAACACATGTTGTAAAAAACTAAAGCACACTTACAATTGGATAGCAACTTCTCACTATTTTCCTCAGATTCAAACGCAAGAACAGTGAAAGGAACCGAGCACCTAGCCATGCTGCTCCTGAAGTTTGCCTAACCTAAAATATACGGCGAGCACAATTTCCCATGAACTTTAGTCTAAATGTTATGGTGGAACATTCGGAAGAAAGTCTACAATGATTGGATTGGGAATTGCTTGTACAGTAAAGATATCATCTCTAATAACATATTAACACGAAAAATGGATACATCCTAAATTGCATATTTAAGTTGGTAAAAATCGGTTTCACGTTTCTTACATCAGAATGGCGTGCACCAGAATAGCCAGGAATAACATTGCCAGCACTGTTCAAAAGGATCACAGACTTGGCCAAAGCAGGCCAAAGACAAGCAACAATGGCAACAAGATATCCTGGTTAACCAGAGGAGCACAATCAATAAGACCATTTATGAACAAAAATAGCAAAATCACGGCAAGAAATGCAAATATAAGTGAAAACTGGTGCATTTCTATATTTGTCCGCTCAATATTATTTTCCTTCACTTCTCTTGGGATGGTGATTTTGTAGGAGCTTAAGTATTAGTACATGCCACCAATTGAGTTGCCAACAAGATGGACAGGTTCTCCCACTACTTCAATTATGAAATCTCTCAGCAACTTAGCCCACACAACTTCAGTGTAGACAATATTTGGTTTTTCTGATTCACCGAACCCCAGGAGTGTCAATGCCCAGACTCGATTTCCACCTTCCGCAATGTTATGTATATTGTCACGATAATGGCTCCAAAAAGCACCAAAACCATGCACGAGCAGAAGAGCAGGACCTTCATCACCACTCTGTGTATACTGCAAAGGCGCAATAAACGTCAGTAGACAGGTACACCACATCACGTAATAGACAGAAAATAAGCTTAGTATCCTACAATTTCAAAAATCTCACTCACATGGATCAGATAGCCATTCCATCTCCATATCCTAACAGAGGAACCTCCCAAACTAGCTGCCTTACTTTTCAAAGCCAACAGCGTATACCACTATGACAGCAATCAGGTTCTTATTAAAAGATATTTGTGAGAAATACTTTTCTCTGTAGATAGCAAATGAATTTGATCCAAGAAAATTCATATTATTATCCAAAACAATTTCTGAGACCCAAAATACCTCCATTGAACACACAGTATCCGCTGCTGCAGCAACCATTTTTGCTGAGCATCCAAAATGCGATATAATTCCAGCATTTCGTTCTTTCTCGTACTCAATCGCTTCATAATACACTCTTCTTCTGGAAATTATTCCAAGAAGAAGAGCGGACCCAAAAAGAGCACCAAATGAGGCTCCTTCCCGAGTTTCAGCTGCACGCAGTTTTTCATGTACCCTGCAAAATAAAGCTAATTGGCATCATTTAATCATGAGAACATTCTTTCCTTGAAGTGGTGAGTTTCTGCACAAAGTCTCATGTTTCCGTAACATCCGTTTTAATTAAAATATGGCAAAATAGTGCAGATCTAGTAGATGCAATAGAAGCTGCAGATACGAGATAAGAAAAGCAGTAAAACTACAAGGCCTTAAAACTTCTAAAAGAGGGGGTCAAGGCTCATATTTTCTGTTCCATTTTATCAAAATGCTCAACTGACAGTCCTCTTCCTCTTCCTTTTCCACTTATACTACTTGCTACAGAAGGATCCGATGTACAATGCCTTCACAAACGCTCCCAGTTTAGTAACACAGTAAGCTAAGCAGTCAAGCTTCAGAATTCTTTCTGAAGGGTATAAGAACAATATGAAATGCAATTACAACAGCTTCAGAGTTGAAATCTTGAAGACCATCTCAGTATGAAAAGATGCATATGGACCTCAAGAATGGAGAATAGGAACCATAAACCTACTGAACTCATATTGCTCAAAATCATTACTCCCTACATCAACGGTTATTTGAACTACTCTCTAAGAGAAGACTGATTCCAAGATATAATTGTTCTCCATAATAGCACAAAATACTCTGAGCTGATATTTCTGCATATCTGATCTCAACATGGGAACTGATATCCATCAACAGAAATAGGACACTCGTAGACTCTGCTATACTAGCTAAAGTAAATGATCTGCATTCTTTTTAATCCATCCTGCAGTGACTGATTTCGAGCTTTGTAATACAATCCAAATTTGCTTAAAATATTATCTTTTTTCATAAGGTAGAAAAAAATATCTTTTTTCTATAACTGTAATGTCCGGACCAGCTTACGCGCACCTCGACTAATCCACGGGTCCCTGCTACCTCGCACCAACACAGGTGTTGGTAACTCTGACTGCCAAAGCTTGATCAGGTAGGAAGAAATCACCAAGTGTTATTACCTCCAATGGGATTTGAAGCTGAGACATCTTCATTCTCAATCCACTTCACTGACCACTAGCCACTGAGAAATCCCCGAGGACCAATTGGCAATCGGTTCGAAACTCGGTGAATAATAGGTCTGCCCTTCTATCCTTCTCCACTTAAATACATGCTAGTCCATAGCAATTATCAAACTCGTGCGTGTGCCTAACCCACACATCGTGTGCTATGTCTTACCACTGAACCAAAGCCTTTGGAGCTTGTTTAAAATTATATTTGCCATTAATAAACACAAAAATCAGTTCAAACGGCTTTCCGGTGTTCATTGGCATAGATGAATAAATATAAATAATACAACATTTTTCAGAGAGTAAGACTCATTTATAAATATATCTAGCCTACAAATATCTTAGAAGCTTTGATCAACCAACCAAAAGATATCATAGGGTATGGGGGAATTAAGTGACAATCATGGCACAGAGAAAAATAAAGAGACGGCTCATACTCCTGCCATTCATCACGAGAAGTACCCTCCGGATATCTCAAATATGCAGCCAAAGCATTCAACACTAGACTTGTACCACCTCCCACTATATTTCCATATTGTGTGACAAAAGCAGATTTTACGGGTCTCTTCCTCTGAATTTTCTTGAGACTTGAATCACTTTGACTGTTCCCAATCCCATTAAACTTTTCCTCTCTCAAACCTTGAACCACAGTACTCAGAGTTGCTGCCTGGTCTTTTCGTAATTCACTTGTAGCTGAATCCTTCTCAATCGAAGCCCATCTGTTTCCTAACGTGCCAGCATTGTCATCCATAAATTTCTTCAAATCTTCTAATGTGGGCAAAGTACCTATTCCACTATACTATTATTATATCCCCTGGTGTGAGCATAGGAAAAAAAAATTGATAGATATCTAAAGAGTGTTGCACGGTGAGGGTTCGGGAAAAAAAGTTATCAGAGCATACCCCAAGACAAGCTCATATCTCCTTTTGGTAACACTTGGGGAGGAAGAGGTGGCATAGTGGGCAATTTCATCTTCTTGAATTCATCGTATGATTTGGGCAATTCCTTCAAGCTCTGGATATAGATAAAAGTTGAAAAATCAGGAATTCAGAATTTTTGCGTTTCCTACAGAGCATCTGGAGGCTGAAATAAGACAGAGCAATACCTTCATAACATAAAATGGCCTGTTCCATATTGCAAGTTTGGGAGTCCCCTCAGCAAAAGATATTGTATCCAAGGTCTCTTTTACACCTTCTACCATTCTCCATAAGCCAAACTCCACCTCCTCCTCTGTAAATATGTTGGTAGCCTTGACCTGTTCCAATCCTCAGTGATGAATGTAAGAATATAAGTGGATGACTGATGGAAGTTTCCTCATTCCTGGCCAGTTAAATATCAGAATAAGCAAATATAGTATGTAACAACCTCTTTGACAAGCCCTTCTATGATACTCTCTGCAGTCCCGAACCTAATCATCAGATTAGATCCCTGCTCCCTGAGTGAACTCTTCAGATCCTTCAAAGCAAAAAGAAGTAATTCGAGCATGTCATCCGGAAATCCTGTGAAAATGACAACAATTGTCAAAAAACAAAGTTAAAATGTACTAGAAGTGGAAGCTAACTCATTTATTAGACATAGTTCTCGCGAGAACAAATTTAAATTTTTGTAACATTGTTAATGTTGCACCCTTAAAGTAATATTATTTCAAATCACATAAGCATTTAATATGAGAGTGTAGTGTCTTGAATATATATACACACACACACACACATTCAAATTCAACTAAAAGGATCACTTCCTATAATTAGACACTCCACATAATTTTACACTTAAATTTTTGTGCTTAAACTTGAGCAGAATACATGAGTAGCTCACCCGACTCTCTAACAAGTTCCTAAAGTGTAAAAAATTGCCATTTGAAGTTGGTTCGGCTGATACAGGCAGAGCAGAAAGAACTTTTTTGCGACTTACTGGAAGTTCAAAAAATCTGCCACTGTTCTGCTTTGGCAATCTTCAATTAAACAAGCAAATATTTCTAGGTCTCGAACCTGTGAACTAAGTCACAAATCCCTCAACCTTTGCCACTTGAATTAAGCCCAGTCGGCAATTCTCACTTGTAATGTTTAGTTCAACAATCATCAAATTAATCAAACAGAAAATGGATACCTAGCTGCAATAAACGTAGTCACAAACTGAAGATTCATACTAGCTCTGTTACTAGTAGTATTTTTTGGCAGTCTCTCTAAACAACTTTCAAGAACTCAAATTTATTTATCATTCAGATTTTGAACTTTGATGTAATATCTTCATCAAATTAACTTTTAAATCACTACTTAACTATTTTCTTCTATTATCACCAAATATAACAGATAAATAACATCAAATTTTTACACTCTGTAGCCCATCACATTAAATAAAACGAATGGGTAAAACACTTTTCCAAGAAGACCCATTATTGGAAATACAAGAGAGAGAGAGAGAGAGAGAGATGGTTAAGGAATATACGAGAAAGAATCCGGGGATCGAAGATGTATAAAGGTACAAGTGTGCGATGCATAGAAGCTGCAACAATGCCGGGGTGATCGTCGACACGAAGATCGTGTTTGTACCATAGTATAGCTGCTGCATCTTTGTTCCCAGCACCAGAACCAGCCGCTTTCATTTTCTTCACGGACATTATAGAAGATGTACAACAGAGAGAAGGACGAGCTTTGGGGTTCGAAGAGAATGAGGGAGAAAGAAAACGAGGGAAAGAAAGAAGAGCCATAGAGAGGAGAGACAAGGTTTAAGGGTTTGATGGGACTTGAAATCCATTAACGAAAGGAGGTATGATAAGGCAAGAAAATTGGAGGGTTACATTACATGGTTCTTGAAATTCTGATCCGACAGAGACAGGAATTAAGGTGGTCTTGTGGCGGAGGAAGGAAGCTGAGATTTTGAGACAGGAAAGAGAATGAGAGTTGAGGAGGGCAATGCACCACGATAACACTTTTTTTTGTTTTCGGAAAAGGTCTAATAGTTATAGCACAATTTTGTCCCCCGTTAGCAAATTGGGCCATTAATATCCCTCACGTTAGCAAACTAGACCAATAATGCCTTCATTTTAACGGAAATCCACATAAGCCTTCTCAAAGGCATTAATTAGCTTACATGGCATCCACGTGACATCCACATAAGCGGATCTCTCTTAAGCCTGCTCCAATAACCCATTTACCCATAAAACAAATACCCAGTTATCAATCAAACTTTATTGGACCTTTTCTAATTGCTAAATGGGTTGCTAAGGGTTTTCGAAACACAAAGAGTGATAAAATGTCGGAAGAGGTAGCGGAAGAGTCTTTAGAGGATCTCGTTAGCAGAAGTTTGATTTTGGCTAGTAGACGACGAGCTAGTGGTAAATTAAAAACTTGCAGAATTCATCACCTCCTTCGACAATTATGGTTGAAAGAAGGAAAAGCTGAGAAGTTTTTTAATATCATAACTAAATGTTTTGATGTGTCCTCAGAAGGTATGGAGATTGAACACAGAATGTGTTTGAATCCAGATGCTTTAAATAACCAGAATCTTGACTTGGAGAAAGGTAATTTGAATTCGGTTCGGGCAATCTTATGCCTGGGTGAATCCCATACATTTTACCTCGACTATCTATGCTGCAAAATAGTAGATTCTCGTTTTTAACTGCTAAGGATATTTGATGTAGAATGTATTTGCTTTTCAAGTTTTCCCTGTGACATAACACAGCTAACATACACTTGAGATACGTTGCTTGTAAAGAAAATATTTTGGGTCTTCAGAACTTGAAAACACTTGATTCAATACGCGCTGCAAATTCCAACTGGATAGAAGTTCTTACAACAGCCCCTAAAATAAAGAAATTGGGAGTTGTGGTCCATCCAGATCATAATGAATGGTCTAAGCTTATTGATAGTCTGATTTGCTTAGCTGATCTCCAGAAGCTAAGATTGCCATCTGGGGTTCGAAAAAGAAAATGGGGGAAAATATTGCGCTGAAATTAGAAACCCATTTAACAATTGGAAAAGGTCCAATAATGTTTGATTGATAACTGGGTGTTTGTTTTATGGGTCAATGGGTTATTGGAGCAGGCTTAAGAGAGATCCGCTTATGTGGATGCCACGTGGATGCCATGTCAGCTAATTAATGCCTTTGTGAAGGCTTATGTGGACTGCCGTTAAAATAAAGGCATTATTGGTTCAGTTTGCTAATGTGAGGGATATTAATGGCCCAGTTTGCTAACGGGGGACAAAATTGAGCTATATCCCATAGTTTAAGGATATTATTGGACCTTTTCCGCTTTTTTTCTCTTTTTCCAAAAGCACTTTCTCTTTTTTTTTTAAAAGGTATTTGGCCAAGTTTGTTTTGGGAGGGAAAAAGTAATTTTGGGAAAGAAGCAGAAGTTTTTGAGAAGCAGAAAAAAGTAGTTTCTTCCCAAAAGCACAAGCAGAAGCAGTTTTGTCTTTTGTTCTTACCTAAAATACCCTTAACAAAATATAGTATATACCAAAATAATCGTTAAACCTAATACTTAGGATATTAATGTATAAGTATTTCTTCTTATTTTTAGGAAAACTTTCTAATATATAATGACTTTAAGGGTGAATGCTTTTATATTTGTTGAATGATTTTTAATATATTTAACTTATATTAAAAGAATTAAGTACTTTTTAATTTTATTTTCATATTTTACTTAAATAAAATAAAAAGATTTAATTATTGCCTGTAATAATAAATTTTTGAGATTATGTATTTACTTAAAATATTAATTGTTAAGTAAATATATTCATCTCATTATTCGTAATTTGTACTTAAAAGCACTTTCCGAAAAGCTTGGCCAAACACAAATTATTGCTCAGAAGTGCTTTTTAGAGTGATTAGCCAAACACAAATTGCTTCTCTCCAAAAGTATTTTTTTCAAAAGCACTTTTGAAAAAAGCACTTCTCAAAATAAGCTGATTTCTCCAACTTGGCCAAACAGGCTATGAGAGCGAGAGGGGCTGACAAATATTTTACTGATTTTATTGCTAGTTCTAATTATTTTAGGCTTGAAACCCTTAACAATACAACTTGTTTGGATGGTTGTTACCCATTGTATTGTTATCCCAAAATATTATTTTGTTAAAATTGGTTGTATTGTATTGTTAAATACATTGGTCCAGAACAATAAAAATTCTAACTTTTGAAACTACTGATTTGTTGTGGTGGGATTGTTTCTTATTTTTCTTTCCAATTATGCCCTAACTTATTACTTTAAAATTATATTTTACCCTTTACCTTTTTTAGCTCCAAATCTCCAACCTTTAACCTACTTTGTGTTCATCCCTCTTTTCCTTATGTTGCTTACTATTCCCAACTCCAACGTCAAAGGTAGTAAGAATAGGTTTTGCCTTCTTTTTGTTTTGTTTTTCTCCTACTTTGATTTTAACTCCAATTCTAATTACTTTAATCTCCAATTACTTGTATACTATTAGTTGTTTTTGAGTGTGCAAAGTGTTACTTATTTATGTTCGTTCCTTTATTCTGCCAACTGCATGGCCTTCATTTGTTTCTCTATCGCCGTTCTTTATTATTTGTTTTCTAATGATAGTTATTTTTTATTTTAGTAGAAATAGATTTTCTTAAATTATTTATATGCATAATTCTTGATAAATTTAATATTTAAAATAATTGAGGATATTTTAGTAAACTTATTAGTTACAGTACACTACGATACTGTTAGACCAAACAACAAATATTATTTAACAACAGCAAACAATACAATCTATACAAACGTTGTATTCATAAAACGATACAATACAATACGATACGATACAATACAATACAATACATTATGAAACGATGGGTAACAATGATCCAAACTGAGTGTTATGAGGTTTTTCTTATATATATATATATATATATATATATATATATATAATATTATCTCTCTATCTCAATATTTATATTATATAACGGACCTATTCAAGGCCAAAAATCACATCAAACAACATAAATTCTACGAAATCGCAACCCAGTTTCAAGCCTAAGCAATTATGAACTTCCGAATTTCGAAACCAACGCCGATTCATACCAAAACAACTCTGATTGACTTTTTAATTTTGAAATTATAAATATTGTAAAAAGAAATTAACATAGAAGGTATTGTAGGTGATCACGCCCAACTATGCCTTATAAAGGACTAAGCGATCGTTGTAAATATAATCTAGTTTACAAGTCCGGAGTCAAATCCCACAGAGAACTAAGGCTTAGTAACAGTTGTTCAATATCGCTAAGAAACACAAGTCCAAACAATTCCCTAATTTATAGATATTAAGTTCTTGTGTTTAACTAATTAACTAATAAATTAAAATAGTAAATTAATAACTAAAGATACTAAGGGTTAGAGACAAGATTAAGGAGGTCTAGAGTTATGATTTTCCCTATTGTCGAAATCCTTCCCGCTATGTTTTCTATAAATTCGCCTAAGTATTTTCTACCGATCATGAGCGCTCTGACTGTCATAACTCTTTCCCGAGTAATTACCACAATTTACTAGACATATTCTCCCGAATTACGCTAGCTGGCATTAAATACGGCTCACTCGGATCGCACCCAAGGTTTTGTTATCCTTAATCCCACCTTTAAACCCTCCGTATTGATCCATCATGTACGTTAGGAGTTATGTTGTTCAACAACTACCTAAATATGCACTCTCTCCCGAGTAATACATACTAAATAGGCACAATCGATTGAGAGCTCTTCAACCAACCACAATAATAACGTAGTTGAACAAATAGAGAAAATACTACAGCAAAGTTATATTAACTTAACAGGAAAATCATCCACCAATAGGTTCCATCAAAACCCTAGATAACAAATTAGCTATTCATAATAGTATACATAACTACAATACTAGAATTCATAACCAATAATTGAAATAGGAAGAAGGAAGTGAAAAACTCGTAGAAGAATTCTCCGCCTTGCCCCTAGTGTGTTCTTGCCTCCTTAGGTTGAATTCTCGGCCTCCACGGCGGCTTCGTGCTCTCCCTAGGTCTAAAGTGTGTCAAAAGTGTGTCCCCCTCTTTCCAATCTCGGTCTAAATTATGTCAAAAGTATGTCCACCTCTTCTTCAAAATAGCATTTTTACATGTATTTATACCAACTAGGGTCGGGCCCAGACAAAACACCTTTTCCTACGCGAAATAGGACTCTGGCTCTGTAAAATTTGCATAGGCGCACCGCATGGGGCGACGCGCCACGCGTTGTGCTTGTGGGGAAGTTCAGAGAGCTGATTCTCACAGGCTGCAGGAAATTTCCACAGGCGTGGCGCGCCCCGCGCCGCACCATGCACCGCGGTAGTGGGAATTCGCAAAAATGCAAAACATGAAAGTTGTAGCCCTTTCAAATAGCTTTCCAACGATATATTGTGGAGCCCAAACGAAGATCTGAGCGAAAATTTATGTGCATTTTACTAGACAATATGCCATATGCTCGCTCGATTCTTCGTTTCGTTCTTGACTATCATCCGTTGATCCCCGAACACGATCCCGGCTTGATTCCTTGGGCTTTTACTCAGACTTCAAAGCTCCTATTCACTTGAATTCATTCCATAATATCTACATAGCTCGGAATCACTCCTACAAGGCATAAAATACACAATTAGTGCAAAAAACACTAGCGATTAAAGCTCAAACTCAATTAAAGTGCAGTAAATTAGAGTGTAATAAGCGACTAAAATACGTAATTATATCCTATCATCAACATCCCACACTTAAATCATTGCTCGTCCTCGAGCAATCAAACTACACTTTATATAGACACAACCTTTTTAAACAATTCTCCTAACTCACCATACCAAGAATATTCAAAATAGACTAAGCACAAAAGCGTAACATCTTCACCTCAAGATTTGACTCACAAGTACCACACATTATTCACAACTCACCCACTTACTCTAACATAGAGGTCACTGAAATTACAGTTTCTTCATGAATCAAGTGCCCTCAC